TCTTGTAGGTGCTCTAGCTGCGACACGTACTCCTTGTGGGTCTCTGCCTCTGCATCTACTAACACCTGCTCCGGGAGCAACACCATCGACAATTGCAGCTCGTGTCCTCACCATCTATGAGAGAATGGAATGATAAAAGATCAAATTCCGAGATCAATAAGCTCGTACGATAGGAATGAAAGAAGTGAGATTGTCCTAATTGTTCTGTAGCCTCTTGAAAATAAGTACAGACGTCTCCGTACCGATCCGCAAGACTCTACAAAACTCGCTTATGACTCGTAGCACCTATGAACCTAGAACTCTGATACCAACTTGTCATGACCCAATTTCCCCTCCGTTGGGCATCGTGATGGCACCTAGTCTTAGGGACTAGGTAAGCCTAACATTTTCTGAATATCAACAATATTAAAGAAAGTCAAACAGTCTCGATATCAAAATCTTCACAAAATTTATAATTTTCCAAAACCGGTAGTACAAGTCATAAGCTCTACAAAGTTTACTACAACTACTAAATACAACTATTTGGAAATAAGTAAAATAGTGTGAATACAAAAAAAATAGGAAGGTGACTCCAAATCCTGCAAACACAGCAACAGGTTTACCTTGACTCTCCACAGCAATGATCCGCACAGCTACTAACGAGCAAATACCTGGATTTCTACAAAAATGTACAGAAGTATAGTATGATCACACCACTGAGGTGCCAATTAAGTATCTAGACTAAACTTGGTGGAGTAGTGATGAGGAACAATCAAGACACCTACTGGTCTAATAAATTGAACAGGTATAAGTATAGGAACAACAGTGCATGATTTCTACATGGAAACTACGCAATATGACTAATAATACAGTACTTACAATAAGAAAGCGGAAGCGACAAGTATCAACAGAATACCATAATAATGACACAGAAAAGTGAGCGGAGACACAACCTAAATTCGAAACCACAAATATAGCAACGACAAATAATAACTCGACAACTACGACAGCTTTCACATTTGATTTTTAGTCACCAACCTTCACGAAGTACCAGACCTCTGATAAATTACAACTCACGGGTCTCAATACCTGAACCCTAACACTTGGCATCTGGTGTCCTCATCACACCTCATAACCGCACTAACGACTCACGTGCCAAATAGAGTCATTCTCACATGGAAGGCAAGTAAACAGGGGTATGCATCTATATTCAACAATATCAAGAAAACCTCTTATCCGATAACGGTGCTTAGCTACGAGTATGCTTGTGCAAATTTCCTAACATAATTCATAACAGCTAGTAAGAATAAGGAAAAGAACGGACAGCACGTAGAATGTTTGCAGGACAGGGGAATCTACCGGAATACCGTTCCAAAGTCCCAAAGTAAATATGCATACATTACCGTTCTGTAGTCCCAAAGTAAATATGTAGAACAAAGGGATCTCCCGTAAATATGCAGAACAGGGGGATCTCCCAAAATACCGTTCCGTAGTCCTAAAGTAAATATGCAGAACAACGAACAGAGATAACAGTTACAGCACGGTAGAAACCTTGTGCATCACCACAACAAGTACAACAGCAAAAATGACAATAACACAAAGTACGGCAAGTAAATCAACTCAAGAACTTTAAATCACAAAGAAACGATAGAACTCATTCACAAGGAATAACCACAGTAAAGAATGCTAGGCGTAAAGAGAACAGCTCAACAAGGAAAAACTAATATGTAGCAACAATCCCACAATATACAATTCAACATCAAGTAAGTTAACACGAGTCAAACAACTCCAAATAATACTAAGTCAACATAAATATAGGATATCTAACTTCTTTTAAGGTTGAGCAATTACGAAGGTTATTCAACAATTCAATTAAGGATAAGCGGCTGAAAGATAATCACAACCTCAATTAAGACTAAACAATTATAGGATGAGATAATAATAATTTCAAATAAAGATAAATAGTTATGAAGGATAGCATGACAGTAGAAGAGGTAAAATCTTTAGTTAAGTCAAATAAGGGTCAAATAGCCAACAAGAATGAATCCTAAAGCAATTAATTCCAATTAAAGCATGTAGAGGTGAAACTAGTAAATAGGAAACTCAATCATATCAAGAACAACTTCATACTCAATGAATATAAGGACCTAAGGACCCTAAAAGGCTAAGTTTCCACAAATAAATCCGAGCACGCACTCGTCACCTCGCGTACACGGACAACAATTAGCATAGGAGACTTAAATCCTAACGGGTAGTTCCCCCACACAAGGTTAGGCAAGATAACTTACCTCAAAGAAGACAAACCGATACACTAAAATGAACTTCTCGGGTGAAAAGACCTCCGGACGGCTCAAATCTAACCAAAAATAACTTCTAAGCATAAATAAAACTCATAAGAAACTATTCCGGATCATAAAACCTCAATCTTTAATAAAATCCAAAAGTCGACCCCCAGGCCCGCACCTCAGAACCCCACAAATTTTCAAAAACCCGAACATCTATTTCGATACGAGTTCAACCATACAAAAATTATTAAATTCCGATACCATTTCGTCCCTCAAATCATGATTTTTCATTATGGAAATTTTCTTCAAAAACCACCCTTTTCCTCAACTCAAAACACAAATTAAATGATAAAATAAAGATAAAATCATGGAATATATTAAATTCTAGGTGAAGAGCACTTACCCAATCGATTTTCTTGGAAAAAAAACCCACAAAGAATCGCTCAAATCTGAGCTCTACAAGTCAAGATATGATAAAAATGGTCTAACCCTCGATTTGGGAATATATTCTGCCTGCCGAAATATTTGTACATCGCGACCGTGGAAGAATGATGCAATCGCGTAGAAGGAGAATGGCTACTATCCAAAATGTGCTACGTGACCGTGGAAGGTCTTATGCGATCGCGTAGTGAAGGAATTATCTGCTGCACAAAGCCACACTTCACGATCACAAGCAGAAGATGCGATCGCGTTTAAGGAATAATTTGCTGCGCAAATGAAAGAACTTTGCGAACGCGGACAGAGAAGATGCAAATGCGAAGGAGTAAACAGACTTTCGCGATCGCGAACGAGGTCATGCGAACGCGATGAACAATTAATTTCTCCTCCAAAATCACTCTTCGCGAACGCGGGAAGCAGACGCGAACGCGAAGAAGAAAACTAGATGACAGGTAACAGCAGTTCAAAATAGGAGAAAAATGGCCCGTAGCCCACCCGGAACACAACCGAGGCCCCCGTGACCCCGTCTAAACACATAAACAAGTTCTATAACCTAACACGAACTCACTCGGGGTCTCAAATCATATCAAACAACGCCAAAAATGCAAATAGCACCATGAATCAAACTATGAACTTCCAAATCTTCCAACTTCAAAAACTCGTGCCGAAACCAATCACACCAACCCGGAATGACGCCAAATTTTGTAGACAAGTCCCAAATGACATAATGGAGCTTCTCAAACTCTCGGAATCGCATTCTGACCCCGATATCACAAAAGTCAACTATGGGTCAAACTTCTCCATTTTTCCAAATTTTAACTTTTCCAACTTCCGTCGAATTGCCTCAAATTACGTACGAACCTCCAATCAAAATCCGGTCGCACGCCTAAGTCCAAAATTACCATACAAATCTATTGTCATCATCAAAAACTCATTCCGGAGCCATTTACACAAAAGTCAAATTCTCACCGCTTAAGTTTCTTAAACTAGATTCCTTCTTCAAATCTGACTCAAAATCACCCGGTAACTGAATTCAACAATGCACGCAAGTCGATACACATAATATGAAGCTGCTCAAGACTTTATGCCACTAAACGAAACTTGAATTCTCAAAACGACCGGCCGGGTCGTTAGAATTCTAAAACTCCTTATGAAATACTGCTTGGGAAACAACCTGACAATAATTCTTTAAGAAGCTTTGGATGTTTATACTCTGCTTCCACATTATCTCAACATAGATCCAAACTTGATCCTAGGTCTCAACCATGTGTCTTCCTTGGTTATCCTTTTGGAAAGAAGGGCACAAGTTACTAAGTTTACAGTCTATGAAGTGCTTTGTGTCCAGGAATGTGATCTTTTATGAAGAAGTCTTCCCTTTTTTTCCATGAGTAGTACACCATTATTCCCACTCAATCATGTAGTCCAACAAGATGGTATACCTGCTCCTAATGAGGATAGTTCAGAGACATTCCCTTCTTCACCTAGCCCCGCAACACCTTCCCTTTCACCTGTAGTTCCCATTTCACAACCTCTACCTGATGATTTCCTAAGAAGGTCTGGTAGACCTCATCAACAACCTACCTAACTAAAGGATTATGTTTGCAATTTAGTACTTCTTACTGAACTCACTGACTCCTATTTTGTCTCACCTCCTAATGCTCATGTTTTATCTTTTTTTGCCTTTTCTCATGAAAATCAAGATCTCTTAAACTCTATTACCCAAATTTCAGAACTTGTATCCTATTCTCATGCTTCTTTGCATCCAGGTAGGAAAGAAGCAATAGCAAAGGAGTTTGCAGCTTTGGAAAGAAATAACACATGGGAAGTAGTGCAACTACCAAAGGGAAAGAAAGCTTTATCTTACAAGGTCAAAAGCAAGTCAAATGGGAGTGTGGAAAGACTAAAAGCTAGACTTGTGATCAGAGGTGACATCCAAAGAGAAGGGATAGATTTCAATTAACTTTTTCACCAGTAGTTAAAATGACCACAATACGATGCTTGTTGGCTGTAGTGGTGAAGAAAAGGTGGGACATTTTCCAATTAGACGTCAATAATATTTTTTTTACATGGTGATCTACAAGAAGAAGTGTACATGAAGTTCCCAACTGGACTGACACCGCCTACTTCTTCTCATGTTTGTCTTTTAAAGAAATCTTTATATGGACTTGGATAAGCACCAGGCAATGGTATGCTCGTCAAACAGCAGCACTGCATTTTAAAGGGTACTCTCACTCACTCAATGATTATCCCTTATTTTTCAATAAGTCTGGTTCTAAGGTGTCTATAGTAGCAGTCTACATGGACGACATTCTGCTTACTGGAGATGATACTGAAGAATTTTCAAGTCTAAAAGCATTCCTTTATTCTGAGTTCAAGGTCAAAGATTTAGGACCTGCATACTATTTTCTTATAATGGAATTAATCAGAGAACCACATGGTCTTATCATTAGTCAAAGGAAATTTACCTTGGAATTGTTGACTGAATTTGGTTGTTTAGAATTGAAGTCTGCCTCATCTCCACTCGACCCAAGTTCCAAACTTTCTGCTACTTCTGGAGATCCAATCCCTGACCCAACACTCTATCGCAGACTCCTTGGTAAGTTAAATTTTTTTACTCACACTCGACCGAATTTGTCCTGTGCCGTTCAGCATCTGAGTCAATACATGCAAGACCCACGAATTCCCCATTTTGATGCCGCAATTCATTGCCTCCGTTATCTTCTAAGTACTCCAAATTTGGAGCTTTTTATGAATTCTGATCCTTCATTGAGTCTCATTGCCTTTTGCGACTCAAATTGGGCTTCTGATTCTCCTAGGTCCGTCAGTGGCTATTTCTTAAGTCTTGGGGGATCTCCAATTTCATGGAAATCCCAGAAGCAACCTTTCGTGTCTTTATCTTCTGCCGAGGCAGAATATCGATCCATGCGGCGAGTGGTAGCTGAAATCACTTGGTTGGTGCGACTTTTAGAGGATCTATCTGTGCCGGCATCTCTTCCAATCTCTGTCCATTCTGATAGCTAGACGGCAGTCCATATTGCCAAAAACCCCGTCTTTCATGAGCGGGGGAAGCACGTTGAACTCGATTGTCATTTTGTGCGTCAACAATTTCTAGCTGGCTTAATTTCTCTATCTTTCGTTCCCTCAGCATCTCAATTTGCCGATGTTTTCACAAAATCGCTTTCATGACCACGTCATCATCGCCTCATCAGCAAGTTGGGTGTATCTTCTACCCCTTCCAACTTGAGGGGGGGGGGGGGGTGTTTGAGTCGATAACCCTATCTCTGATTTGGGAAAGAAAAGACCAAGCAATGAGAAAGACCTGATCTGTTTGTCGACTAAGACAATGGGTTTAACTGAAGATTTCATGGCCCATTCAGATGATTTCCATCCAGGCCCAATTATCACTAGATCCATTCTAAGTCCAAGACCCAATCTTTTCTGATTATAGCCGTTTTATTGTTTGGTCTTGGACCACAACTGGATAGCAGTTGTATTTAGTGTCTTATGCTACGTGTCTACATTTAAGAATACCAGTACATTTGTACATAGGACAATTCTATATTTTGTAGAATTTGTTAGGACAAGATTCAATAGCAAATAGCCACGTACACAATTCTAGGAAGGTTTTTTCAATTCTTCTTACTTGTATATATACACACTGCACAAGATATGTTAAAATCAATAAGAAAAATAAAAGGTTACAATTATTCTCTCATTATCATTCCTTCATAGTGTTAATGGTGGGGATTTGGGGAGAGTTGGCAATTGGAATAGGGCAAGAGAAGACGAAGCGGGATAGAGGGGAAAGGATACTCTAAAAAAAGAACAGAACGAAAGAGAGGTTTTCAAATAAATTATTGAAAAGTACAAGAACTTCAAGATAGGTGATCAAACCAATTTCATTAGAAATAAACCTAGAAAACATATTAATAGTGATTAGATGAAAGATTGGGGTATTCAAACTTGTCAAAGTTGGTGAATACTATTTTTTGGGAGGAGGGGGAGAAAATTCTAGAAAAAAACAAAAGAACAGAGAAATGGAAAAAGAGGTTTGGTGGCGTCAATGGGTGGAGGGGGGATGAATGTTGGCAGCGAGGAGAGGGTAAGAAGAATACCGGTGGGGGGAGGCGTGTTTTCTGGAAAAGAAAAATTATATATTTTTTTACTTCCCATATGTCATATAGTGATTCGCTCTGTTGCTATGTCGGAACGTTTGAATGTCATGCACTTTGCTTTTGTGAGAGATTGTCCTTGCAGTTTCTAGTAGATACAGTTTAAACATATATTAAATATTCAATCGGTAATACCATTAGTTTAGGTGTCTAAATAAAAATTTAGGGCAAGTTTAAGGGGTTGCATATGTATATAGCCATATTATGTTAGGATATACTATTAACCATGTATTTTATTATAATATTCTTAATGGATTAATTATTTATTTAATTATCTAATTTAATAAAGTTTTAATTTAAATAGATCATGTACTCGTATATATGTCTTTTACTTATATAGTAGACAATTTAGTGTATAGAGTTTTACCTTATGCGTGAAAGATCAAATCATCGATTTTCATAAGTCATAAGTTTATGTTCACAATTCGTTTTATTTATTTGAGCTTCGTTTGCCCATTTGATGTTTCCCGTATGTTTGGTTGTTGTTTATTGTTGGAAGCTTAAGTTGTAAGAGTTAACCAAGGTTTGACTTTATGTAAACGAAGTTGGATTGGTGACTTGATGGCTGTAGTAGGTTCATATGGTAATTTTTGACTTAGTCCTATGTTCAGAATTGGATTTGGAAGTTTCTAGGATGTTTTGGCTCTATTTGCCAGAAGTTGGCAATTTGAAGGTTGGTAAGTTCACAAGTTTGACCGTGAGTTGATTATGAGGCTATCAGGTTTGGATTATCATTTCGAGACCTATAATAGGTCTTTTTTATCATTTGAAACTTATGTGCAAAGTTTGATTGTATTCCGAGTTGGTTTGGTATGAATCAGACACTTAGTTGTGAAGTTCTTAAACTTCAAAGCATGCATTATGAGTTTTTGTGTTTGATTCTTGTTAATGGATGTTTTTTTTTTATGTTTTGAACTTATGAGCAAGTTCCTATGTGGTTTACATACTTATTTGATGTTTGGTGTGGGACCGAGGAGCTCAGGTAATTTTTGGATGAGTTTTGGATTGATTTTTGAATATTAGAGATTTTTGGTGTTGCAGACATCGCTTTTGCGATGTCCGCATTTGCAATATGTTGATTCGTATTTGCGATGTTTAACTCTAAAGGCCAGCTTCGCATTTGCAAAGCTGGTGTGGCAATTGCGACATTCGCCTTTGCAAAGGGGACACTTGGTCGCTTTTGCGAGATTTATGGTCGTAATTGCGAGGTTTGCTGCTAAGGGACTATGTCTACATTTGCAAGCCCTCCTTCGCATTAGCGAGCCCTTCTTCGCATTCGCAAACCCCTTGTTGCATTTACGACTTCCACAGCTGGTTATTAAGAGCCATTCGGGACATAGACCCATTATCTCATATTTTGAACCCTAGACTTGGAGAAGGCAATTGTTTTAAGAGGATTTTGACACAAGGCAAAAGGGGAAGTAATTTCTACTTGATTTTGATATTATATCATTTTTCATTGATTATTACACCTAGATTACGGGATTTTGAAGAGAAATTTGAGGGGTTTGACTATAACTTTGGAAAGTAAAAATTGGGGATTTGGAAGTCGGTTTGGACTTGGTTTTGGAATATAATCACATATTTGAACTCATGGGGTTATGGGTAGTTGGGATCTACCCGTGGATTCGTGTTTTGACCATTTAGGCCCGTAGTTGACTTTTCAGAAACTCGATAAAGATTGGAACCTTATTATTTGGAATTGATTTCTAAAGCATTGTTTGATATTATTGAGTTATTTTTAGCAAGATTCGAACCGGTTGGAGGTGATTTCTAAGAGGAATGCTATTTTAGAGGGTTGAGTTGGGCATATTGAGGTAAGTATCTTACCTTGTTTGAGGGAATAATCCTTAGGACTGGACTTTATTTGTCAAATTGTAATGTATGTAAAGCAACGTATATGCGAGGTGATGAGGGTATATCCCGGTACTATATATGAAAAATGATCGAATTAGACTCTATGCTTCTACTTGTCATGACCCAAAACCCATTATAGGCTGTGATTGCACACAACGCTACCGTTAGGCCAGCCAACAATTAAATCAACACATGAAGAAGTTAATCCAAAATGTGTTTTGAAGCAATTAAAGAAATAAAGAGTGAAATCCTCTGTTTTATAGAAAATGTGGATATTATTATTTTAAATGTTCGAATGAGGCCAAAATATAAACTAGGAAAATTATAGCGGAATACAACCAAGAGCAAGATCTAAATCCCAGTATCACAAGTGCATGAGTATCTACTAGGAAGTACAATACTACTACAACATCTGTCTGGAATAAAAAAATAGACAAGATATAATAAATGAACAAGATGGAGACTCGGTGTGCTGCGGATCGTAACATGAAATGCAGCTTACCACAAAGTCTCCTCAGCGGCTTGACCTATGCACCAAGATCACCACCAAAGGTACCTGTCTTAGTACCTACACAATCGGTGAAGAAATGCAGTGTGAGTATGTAAATCAACGTGTACCCAATAAGTATCTAGCCTAACTCCGAAGAAATATTAATGAGGGATCGACATTAACACTTAATAGTGGTCCAATAAATTAGGTATAATAAAAGTAAACAGGTATGAGGCATAGCAAGTAAAAGCAACGAAACAGATATATGTGCATAACGCGATCCTCAATAGAAGAATAAATATAAAGTCCTCAATAACCGGATACTACCTCGAACGGAATACATAATGGTCAATATCAGATAAAATATCACATCTCAAGTCAGAAAACTCATAGGTACTCTGACTCCTTATCAAATATTCCACACGATTCTACTGAGGCGAACGACCCGATCCTATAAGAGTAATGGCACGATATCCCGTCGTGGCTTACGACCCAATCCCATAACAATAGTGTACATTTTCGAGGTCGTACGACCCGATCCAGATGCATATCATAATACTGTCGAGTCAAACAGCCTAATTTCATAATGATAATGCTGAGGTGTTCAACTCGATCCCATAGGAATAGTGAAAAGATTGATGGGTCACTAGCCCCACCAATGAATATATGTGTGAGTTATGAAATTAAAGAAACTTTCGGAAAAAATCGTACAATACGGGAGAAATCTGTAAAGGAAAGTATAAATTTCTACAACTAATCAAGTAGCTCATCAAGTATTTAAGATTGCAATATTCGATCCTCTATACAAGTCCAATCCCAGGCTAAATATGATAATTAGGGCATGTAAACAGGCAAGAATAAATCAAATAACACAACTAGAGTGTGGCGTGTGTCAAAGTCTACCCAGACCTAAAACGGAATTCTAACATACGCATGGACACTCGTCACATCACACGTGCGTAGCTCCCACAACACGCAGCACATAATAAATATAACACCTTTGGGGTAAATTCCCCCTCATAAGGTTATACAGGAGACTTACCTTGCTTCGAAATTCGATAACTGGCTCCAACGCCTCTCTAATACCTCAAACCGAAGCTAAACGATCCAAACCAATCAAAATATACTCAAAGACTCGTAATTTAATCAATTAGAAATAATCCCCAACTCTACACGAAAAGTTAACATAGTCAACCTCCGGGCCCACGCGCCTGGATTCCGAATTTTTTTGAAGATAAATATTACCCATAGCACCACGAACTCAAATATATAATTTATTTCCAATTCCATGTCCAATTTCGTGGTAAAAATTCAAAATATTATTTCTAGGTATTCTTCCAAAATCCCACGATTTCTACAAATTCTCACGTTCAAATCCATATATAATCAATGCATATAACTTACAATGAGTGGTAATCAGTTACCTTGTGATAGATGACCAAATGCCCCTGCAAAAATCGCCAAAAAGTCGGCTCCAAATAAGAAAATGAGATGAAATGAGC